TAAACAGTTAAAGGAAAAGAAACAGGTTATTTCTGCTTGTGGTAAATATGTAGGGAGTGTGAGTTGGAAGTTGTGGCTGTGCATGTATGTATGGCCGTCATCAAGCTTGGTGACCCTCACTTTCCAAGATTAGATAGAAAGAATATGTGCTGAGGCAAGACACTGGAGAGTTGTGGTATGCTATAAAATTACAGTCAACTAGAAAGCCCTTTCAGATGAATAGGAGTGAAATTTAGGAATAAAAGTTTTCAGAAATTCTTCCAACATAAAAATAGTAAGTACTGGAGAAATTCAACAGGTCTGGCAGCAATTGTGGAGAAAAATAAACAGAGCTACTGTTTCGAATCCAGTGATTCTTCATCAGTTCCGATATGTTTAATATACATATATAGGTTGAACAATACATGGCCATGATATGGGAAATATCTCCATATCTCCATTTAACTTTACTTGGGCAGACATCATCATGTCAAGATTTTGGTCATGCTACACGCTCCATGTTTCCTCATTGTGGTTTTAATAGGAAGTAGATGATGCTGTTCAACATTACATCATTCTGAATTCTTAAGGCACCAATTGGTCTGCATTCATGGAAATATACATAATAGAAACTTTCGATAAATGAGTCTTGCCTGCAGTCACTCTGATAAACATTTGAAGCTTCTCTGAAGTCTATCACGTGCCTGGTGTGGTTTGTCCCAGCAGTCAAAATATATTATTTATGACAATATGTCAAAGAATTCTGTTTAATAAAAGGTTTATGATAGTTGATGGACTGATACCAAAATAATCTTAAAAACAAATGTTGCAAGGGACTTTTATTTAACAATCTTGAGTGTAAAGGCCACAATTTGCACCCAATCTCACAAAACACTGGTTGTAATTAATACAATTAATTAAAATGATCTATAGTTCAACACTCAAAATAACTAGTAAAATGTGTACAACAAAATGATTATATGATGAAAACTATAAAAGCTGCTTAGCATGCAGCAAACATGAACCTGCACTTTTACACTTTTTTGAATTTAATAAATTATTCTCTTCAGCAGAAGAAGCAAAAATTAGAGAAGGTAATTTTTGGTTTTATAATAGCACCTGATTTTTAAATAACAAAATACGAGCACCCCACCCCCCCCCCCCCCCACCCCCACTCCCCAAAGAGGAGAGAGATGGAATATTCCCCAATTGCCTGAATGAGTGCAGCACTAACAACACTTAAAAAGCTTGATACCATCAAGGGCAAAACAACCTGTTTGATTTCATCCTATCCATCACATTATTGTTCACCCCCTCCACTATAACTCAAAGTGGCAGCATTGTGTATCATCTACAAGATGTATTGCAGTAACTCAGCTCGACTCCTTTGACGGTACCTATCAAGTCCATGACCTTTACCATATAGAGAGATAAAGACAGGAGGCACCTTGGAACACCACTGCCCCCACGATTCCCTCCAAGCCACACATTACCCTGACTTGGAAATATATTACTAATCCTTCACTGCCACTAGTTCAAAATTCTGAAACTCCCTTCCTAACAGCACTGTTTGTGATCTACTTCCCAAGGACTGCAGCAGTTTAAAGAAAGTGGCTTGCTACCGGTTTCTCAAGGGCAACTAGGGATGCGCAACAAATATTGATCTTGCCAGTGATCCGCACAATATAGAAACAATAAAAGAAAATGTGTATAGGTTATCATGTGACATACGTAAGTGATTATTCACCTTTCATTGATCATCATTCAATGTGCACATGCCATTGCAAACATGGTCATTACATCACATATACAGACCAGACCACAGCGTAAGCCAGGAAGAAGAAAAGTATGGTTTTGTAAAATGGAAAACAAGAAAAATAATCTATTTATCAATGCAGGAAAATTCAGGGATCTGGTTGTGGAACTTGGTTCATTAAAAACTACTTTACACATTGCTAAGCTGTAACCCACTACCTCCTTTGGCAGCTTGTTCCATGCACACACCACCCTCTGCATGAAAGTTACCCCTCAGGTCCTTCTTAGATCTTTCTCCTCTCACTGTAAACCTACACCCTCTAGTTTTGGATTTCCCCCACACTCGGCAAAAGACTTTAGCTATTCACCCTATCCATGTCCCTCATGATTTTATAAACCTCTACAAGTTCATCCCTCAGCCTCCAATGCTCCAGGGACAAAATCCCCAGCCTATTCATCTTCTCCTCCATTCCCTGAAACATCCTTGTAAATCTTTTCTGCACCCTCTCAAGTTTAAGAACATCCTTCCTGTAGAAGGGTGACCAGTATTATATGCAGTATTGTAAAAGTGGCCTCACCAGTGTCCTGTACAGTCGCAACATGACATCCCAACTCCTATACTCAATGTTCTGACCAATGAAGGCAAGCGTGCCAAATGCTTTCTTCACCACCCTGTCTGCCTGTGACTCCATGTTCAAGGAACTATGTACCTGCACAACTAGGTCTCTTTGACTTAAACATGTCAGCCATAATTAGAAGAACAGAAGAAATAATCAAAATGCAGAATTGGAAACATTCTCACAGATCAGAACAAGGATTTTGAAATCAATGATTTAGGACATGGTCAGCCATTGATGATTAGCAGGACAGAGAAAATAGCTAAGTGGTATTTTAATACAAGATGAGAGTCAAGGGCCCAAGTTCTTATTGAGGTTAGTTTTGGGTAGAGCAGAGTTTGTGAGACTTGCAGGAGACCATTGCAAAAAAATTGAACTATATGTCAGAAAAATCATAAAATGTGGAAAATGTGCAAGAAAGCAAACAATATCAGGTGATCTAGCACTTAGCATATGGTTCATTATGCTGTTGTATAGTCGCCATGCCAGTCACCAAGTTTAATAAATGCAAGCTTATATCTGCAACTTCTTGATAACATTAAATTCATTAGCTTCATCAGACTTGCATAGGAAGTTCATGGGTGAATTTAATGTGTGTTCACAGGAAGAGAGTGTCAGTGAATGAGTCATTTCAGACTAAACTTGTGGCTATATTTTACTTTGTCACTGATGGAGTGCAGTGTTTGCTATTTTTGGAACCTGCCCAATCTTTAATTTTGTTGATTGAAACAAGAAGATCAGCCAGGTTCTGCCACAGGACCTGCTCCACCTGGTTACCTGCCAGCTGGTGGCTTGGAACACTTTAGAGAGACACACACACATACTCGCTAACCCCCCACCCCGCCACCTCTGCCTACCCCAAATCTTCATACTGAATTTTCAAATAACCTTGACAAATAGGCCTAAGGATTGATCCTGCTGTATCAACCTTTTATTGGTGCAGGAGGTCCAATAGGAAGTTAGAAAAACATAAATGACTTTGTGAGACTCATTTGAGAAAGTGTAAAAGTATTTGGAACAGAAAAAGAGAGCCTTCGCAAAGTGAGTAGCTGAAACATACCGAAAAGAACATTTCAGGTTTCCTCACAAGTATGTATTGAGTTACTTCGTCTTAGTTGTAATGTTTGATGATGAATGAATTGGCCAAATGCTGATCAGTTCAGGATAAAAATTTCAGCCATTGCATTTGCTGCTTGTTGACATTCAGTAAGCCTTGCTGGATGGGCACATTTGAGCATTGAATAGTGATTCGGTTGAACTTGATTACTGTATTTGCAAAGGACTGCCATAACATTACTATTACTCACATATGTGGGTCTTAACAGTGGGTTTCCCACCAATTGAGTTGTAAATTATTTTTAAATTAACCTGGTCAGACATGTTATAATATACCTCTGGGAAAGCTCGGACTTGAACCCAGAACTTTTGACCTACTACCACTACAAGTGTGTCACAAAATTGCTTCTTACTGAGTTGTACCCAAATACTTTCAAAATTTTCATGGGATATGAGAGAACATTGACAGATAAATTTGATAAAGATAAGAAAATCAACTGTTACCCTACAACAGGAATTCAAATTAAATACAGCTGAAATTATGATCAGAACCCGTAGAGCCACTGCAAATATGAACAAAAATGTCCCATAGCTTTGAGCATTGGAATACTAATTCATAGTGTCACGAACTTGATTATTTGAATAATCCTCATTCAATTAACTTTCTATAGAGGAGCTGTGCTAAACTAGAGGGGTATTGAACGGTAACAACAGCAGCCTGCTGCAGCATGAGGAGAAATTGAGAAAGACAGCTACAATGAGATGAAGCCTAACACATCATGAAATAGGAACACAAGGATGCCTTTGACTATCCTGGTAGCCAAATTGCACAGCAATATTAGAGTTGTTGATAATTGATTACTACTGATCTCTGTCAATCAGCAATAATAAATCCAAACATGAGAAAAACTGTGGTAATAGAGGGCTTTGGAACCTAAAGCTATATTATTGTTATTCTTCGCAGCAGCTAATACATCTGCACTGTCAGCAAGGGCACTACAAAAGCAAAATTATTCTGAAGACAGAGGTTAATTTACAAAGAAAGGACAATGTTACAAAAGAAAGTTTGAGTAAAATGCAAATGCAAAATCAACAAATTATATGGTTGGTTCTTAATTATTTGGAGTTGATTTTTAGAATAAAAATCTGAATTGTCCAACAATTTCAATTAAGCAGCTTGAATAACACAACAAAATGAGAATTTAGCATGCAAAGGATATGAGTCATCATGTGGCTTGAATTATGCAACTTTGCATTGATAGCAATAAATGATAGTTAAGATGTGCAATAATGTTTCACAAGTTCTGTATTTAGATTCTGCAAGTAAAAAGTTCTAGTCTTGCCTGCAATATATCTTGTTGATTCCTGCCAGAGGGGACTTTCATAAAATGAACAGTAACTCCTGTTGTTCTTAGTTATTTTTTGAAAAGGCTACCATTGAGCACACCACTGAAATCAAACAGCTCACACTACATTTTTGTATGATACTATTCATTAAACAAACTCAATACAAGGGATTGAAACAGTTAAAACATCAGATATTGCATTGCATGGCAGTTACACTTCAGTGAATGAAGATTATAGAGGATATACCTTATTGTCACATGCAATTGGTTTCTTGCATTCCTCACAGGTATTAGAATAAAGGCTTTCGTAGCACCTCACACAATAAGGATTCTCTTCTCTAAGGATGTATTTCTTCCCAAAGAGGGACTCCTTGCAGTAGTGGCAGTCAAAGCGTTCTGTCATCGTGCTTTTTGGAAAGCTCTAAGCACCTAAAATTCAAAACAAGAGCAGGAAATTGAAACAGTCCTGTTTATCTCTATGCAGTACGACACATCTACATTTGACTCAATTCAGTTATAATAAGACAATAAAAAAGCCTTTACAGATCAACAGCTCTCAGAGTGAAATCAGAAACATAAATTGTGACAGATTGTCAGTCACCCACGGTTCCGGTAGTGAGACACAAGGTGTTAGATCACCAGCCCCTAGAATTCATACAGTTTGAATTGCTGCTCGTCTAATAACTGATGAGTGTTGTGTTGAAGCAATTGAGTGGCTGGCTGCCTAATAAAATCCTGTGTCATTTTACCATATAAGGATATAAAGCTAGAAAATCATTCCCTCTCTGAGCTTCACTACAGCTGGCAAAGCTGACCCTCCTTCTTCATAGGTTTACTGTTATCCACATTGCTTTCTTTAATTTTTCTTTATTAATAAATCACCAGACTCATTTTAACAGAGAAACATTGCAGACCCTCACAAGGGACTGGTAAACGTTTCCTGAGATCAAATATAAAAGTAGATGAAGATATCAATAAATTATTAGGATTTGACTTAGAATCCCTACATTGAGGAAGCAGGCCATTCAGCCCCTACCCTATTCTTATAACTCTGTATTTCCCATGGCCAATTCACCTATCTTTGGACTGTGGGAGGAAACCACAATGACAAAGGGAGAATGTGCAAACTCCACATACACAGGCACCTGAGGGTAGAATCAAACCCAGGTCCCTGGCACTGTGAGACAGCAGTGCTAACCACTGAAACACCACGCCACCCCATTATTAGCTTCATGTTTATTATATACAAATACACCACCTTGTTCTGAATGTAGTCATTCAACTCATGTTACAGCATTGTTGCAAATTGCAGAACTCGAGAATTTTTTCTACTTCTCTGCAGATGACCAAACAAGATTAACATGTACCTACATGAATACTATTATTACCTGTCTCCAGAATGAAATCTTCTGTCCAACTATTGTAATCCTTTAAAGCATTCTCAATGTTACATGAGATACCCTGATACTTATCCAATTGTCCAAGTAAATTGATCTTTACATTAGGATCAATCTGCATTTCCGCCATTAAACTTGGTTCTAGTACAGGATGGGAACAGTAAGAGTTTGAGTGTTTAATAATAATTGACACTGTGTTACAGTGCCATGTATATATTTGTCTATTAGTCCATAAGGGTTTGAGTCCAGTTCAATATAATATTAAGTATAACCGCTAAAGGAGGAGATACACAGGACTGTGAGTCAAATAAACTAAGCCATTAATTCTTCCTAAATTTTCAGTACTCTATGTAACAATCCAAACTGTAGTAGTCTTTGTGCCACTAGATGTATTTACAGAGGATATTATTCCTGGTAAGGATGTGGATAGCAGTCAAGGGTTTTCTTTCAGCTAGTAAGAATAATATTATTAACATTTTAGGACTCTATAAAAGAATTTACTGTTATTGTTTCTTCAGCTGCTGTATCAAGCTTGCCTAGGAGAATATTAATTCATAATGTAAGGATCTCTGCATTCAAGTAGCAGCATCATCAGGCATTCCTGTTTGTTACACTACCACCCAGGTCTTAATGAAAAAATGTATTAATTTTTATTACATAACTGTGTTGAGACCCACTTAATATCATTAAATCTCCTCCAGTCTTGTAAACTAAAAATACCCAGAGGGAGAGTTTCCCAGTCACTTAGGTGGGAAGCTAGCCTGGGATAAAATGCTAAGGAGAACGCTGCTCTCCAATGCAGTGTTACCACAAGAGAAGTTTCCCAGTGGTGACAACAGGAGTGGCTTGGCTTCCATGTGACCTGATACAGAGACTCAAGTTAACCTATCAAAAACCAATTTAAGATCCATACTCCTGGGTCACTGACATTTTGCCAGCAGCAGTGTCGACCCCTGCTGCATTTGGACGATAGCAACTGGATGGAGGAGACTGCCTTACAGACTCTTGAAGGGGCTATTCCAGGATCAAAAGAGGGGCACTTGTGGCATCAATGGTTGCATTGCAGTCCTGATACCTTTGCCAAAGGGTCTCCCCTCTGAATGCTAGGGCTTAATCACTGCTTGGCACTGGCAGAAAACAATGTGTCTTCCTCCCTTCCAAGGATGCCTCAGGATGGAAGCAGCTGCTTGTTATCTTTGCCACCTTACCAGTAGCCAATTTTCTCAGTGACCCTCTGATTAGGTCAGAAGTACAGAGAACCTGCCCACTGTTTTAAATAGATGGCAGGTCTGGTGCAAGGCAAGTCTCTCTTAAAAGACTGTTATTTCAGACCACTCATGGATAACTTAAAACCTGCAGAGGTTCCTGATGTTGGGCATGATGTTACGCCTTGGCCTTCCTGAGAAAATCCCAGCCCATCCCTGCTGAATGGTTCATTGTGTTTCAAAGAAAGGAGCCCTGATGTGTCTTCATGACATTAGGAAGTAAACCAGCAACCCAAAACCCATGGAACATCAGTCTATAACTCATTCATCGCATGCTGAAATGTTTGAATGTCGTGAGAGGTTCCATATCTTGTTTTGAAAATTGTTTACATTTTTGTGTTCTGTGTCTCAAGATTCTTTGTATTTCATTTTCATTTTACTTTCTTTGTTTATCTTTTATTGCTGAGGTTTTAAACTTTTGGATTTGGACTGAGGTATTCTTACTTTCTCCAATAACTGTTCCTTACAACCAAAGGATAAAAAAATTCAATGCCAGTTGATTCTGCAATATCCCATAAATTTCTTGTCAATTCTCATAGCAGCAGGAACAATGTTGCACAGCATCAAAGTGCTGATAATGGAGCAGCAAATGATGATTATACACTTAAAACTTTAAGGTGAATTTAGTTACATGAACTTTCCAAGCTTAGAATAATATTGTAACTGATAAAATGACAACAGCCACATTCCAAACACTTAATATGCAGTGGCATGGTGGTAATGTTACTTTGCTAGTAATCCAGAGAGCGAGTGAAGATTCTGGAGACATGGATTCAGATCCACCACAACAGCTGATGAAATTTATTTATATCTTGGGAATTGAAAGCTCTCAATAATGGTGATCATGAAACTATCATTCAGTGTTATAAGACCCACCTGGTTCAGTCATGTGCCTTTAGCTACCCAGTTCAAGATCTATTAGGGACCGACAATAAATTTTGTTAACATATACATCCTGTGAAAGAATAAAGGAGAAAGAAGTGTTTACTGGAGCTGTTGCAGATTTGAAACACTGACAGTTGACTGACTTTCTGGTGGAATATTTAAATATGTAATGACATAGCAAACAGACATGCAGAACTGATAAAGGATATCATAAAGTCAGCTTTCTAATAATGGTAAAGTTGACATTATGCACAATTGCAGAAGTAAAAGCTATAGGAAAATTTTCCACTGATTATCCAGTGCAGGAACTTTTGAAATCATAGTTGTCATTAGTGAAAAAACACAATTATAGGAAATGCATGAAGTACTCCCATGAAGAGAGGAGTTGACCAAAGAATGACCGTGTTATTATAGTGCAGAAGAAACCATTCAGCCCATTTGTGTGCATCATCTCACTGAGCATTTTGACTTAGTGTCAATTTCCTGCCTTTTCCCTGTAAGGTTGCATGTTACTTAAATAGAAACAACCATTTAATGTCCTCTTGAATGCCTCAATTGAACCTTGCTCCAACACAGTTCCAGGTAGTGCATTCCAGACCCTAACAATATATGAAAAAGATTTGTCTCACCTCACATTTGCTTCTTTTGCAAAATACTCTAAATCTATTTGGTTCTCAATCTCCTACATTCAGAAACAATTTCTCCCTTGCTACTTTGCTCAGCCCCCTCATGATTTTGAAAACTTCTATCAATCATCCTCTTAGATTTCTCCTGTTCAAGGAAAACAGTCCCTCTTGTCCATTCTATCTTCAAAATACCACTTGCCATACATCACTAGAGTGTATCCTCTATTCATGCTCTCTATCTCCTACCTTGCATTCAATTGCTCACATAGGCCCAAAGCTATCATGTCACATTCCTTGAGACCACACTGCATTTAGGTGAGGATGTTTAATTTACTGTCTGTAGTTATGGTAGAGAGCCGTTCCAGATAGATGTAGACAGGATTAAAAGAATCTGAAGGAGGAGTCAGGACAGGAAGTGTTGGGTGAGGAGGCAAAACCATGCTAAAACAATGGTGATGGTGTGGGAGAGCAGGAGGAAGATTCCAAAAAGGCACTGTTCAGATCTGTATTATTTTATTTTTAATTTTATCATTTTTGGTTTGGAACTGTGAACTGTGAACTGTGAACTGAGAGTTGAAAGTGACCTTTGGATTGTGAGCAGCAGCTTGTTTTTTTATTCAAACAAACTGATATTTGTTTATGAGGCCCGGCCCAGAAGTTGAATTGATTTTATTTGATTTGAACTGAACTCTCTGGTGCCATCTTAAAACACAGAGAAACATAGAATATAACAGCAGAAAAATACAAAAAGTAGAGAAAAAATGTTCTCAGCCCTTCTTGGTAAGTGCTTAACCATGGGACATGGGTCTGGTAGCCAGGCATGAGTCCCCTTTGCCACACCACTGCTGGAATGAAAGTTGCGTCTCTCAGTACCAATTCACCCTCCACTGACATCCTCAAAGTATTCTATAGATGTTTCAGTTATGGAGATACATCATACTGAAACAGATGGCAGATGTTTGAATGTTAACAGGGCATCAAAAGAAGGCTGGTGCCAAGACAATGTTGGGATAAAGAACCAGGAAGATAAACCAAAGTGTTCACAGAGTTTGAGCTTTTGTCTTCAGAAAACCAGCAATGGACAATCGCTTGTGCCTATGATGTTATGGTTCGTAAAGTCTGCTTAAGTGAACTGGCCAGTTACTTCTCTCTAATTTTCTTTTGATTTATCCCTTAACTGTGTCTGTTTGTCTGTCTGTCTTTGTAAGAGTGGGGGCTAGAATCAAAGAAGATTGGGTTTAAATCATAAATTACCTTGTTGTTTAACTTTACTCTGCTAAAAGTACTGTATTATTAATAAATTGTTAATTATTTTGTTTAAGTGGGAAAGAGCAGGGCCCATTAAGACTGCAGTGATAACTTGTGCATGGAACCAGAGGATGTAGGTAGGGTTCTAAATGAATACCTTGGGTCAGTGTTTACTAGTGAGAAGGATGACTTACGCATAGAAATCGAGGAGAAGGACTATGATATTCTTAAAGGAACTAGCATACACAGAGAGAAGTTTCTAAGTGGT